ATGTCTTCTCTAATATTCCATTCCATCTGAGTTAGGTATGCCTTGAGTTCTTTCCCTGTCCATGTTTCTGATGCTTCTAGGTGCTCCTGTAGATTTAAGTTGTCCTGCATTGTTTGTAATCCTTTTTTTCCCTTGTTTTTTCATGTTGTTCACGTTACTTTCCAGCTCTGTTTGACTGCTGTGTAACTGCTTTCTCCTATAAATTTGTTTCGGTTTTGTATATCTCTGTTGTCTCTCCTTTGTGTTTGGAGACTATGCCTAGAAATGTTGGGCTTTATTGTACTTTAAAGCTGATTCATTCAATTCATAAAAGGCTTCCGGGTTCTGTATGCATGTAGTGATTTGTTGTTTGTTCTTAGGACTTTATGTTTAGGTTAGGTGCTACGGTGGTATGAGGGTTAGTATGTCTTGGCTACTTTAGAAGATTGCTGTACTGAAGGGGGATACTAACAGGCGATTGGATCAGGGTGTTGGTAGTTACTAGGTATTTAGGAGCCCTATAGACAGCCTCGAAACATTCACCTATTTGCATTTAAACAATTACACGTATTGGAAGACGTAATGCTTGGGATGAATGTTGGGGGGTAGGGGAAGGAAGGTGCTCTTAAAAAGAAAGAAGGAGAGAGAGATAGATAGAGGAGAATTAAAAGAACAATAAAACTTGAAAAGGGAAAGAAAGAAAGAAGGAAAAGGGGAGAAAAAAACAGAGAGAGAAGAAAAAAAGAAAAAAATTGAAGTCTTACAGATCCATTTTCTTCTCTTCCAGTAGGCGGAGCTGTGCCCTCCGAGCTGAGCTTCTACCCTCTACATACCGATAGCAATCCCTGTAAGGCGGCTCCTGGGAGTCTGTCAATCTTGTCAGTCCAGAGCCGTTTCACTTATCCGGCCCCTCCCCCCTTCCTCCTGTCAGCCGGCCAGCCAGGTCCTGTTCACCTGAAGCGGTTCCCCAACGATCTAGTTACACTTGCAGCCCCACTGCGCATCCCATTTAAGCCCCAGTGCTGTGGTAAACTGGTGGCTAAGACCTTGGGAGTCGCCGCTGGTGATATGGGGGGTTAGGGGTCGGGAATCCCCTCTGCTTCCCTACAGACATGCCCCCGGAGAGATCCCTGAGGTTTCCTGGCTGCTTGTATCTGGATGGGGTGGGAGTCACACACCTGTTAAAGTGGATTCCGCTGGGAAGGAATTCCGTCAGCTGAACTCCGGTGACATCACCTCTCTGTTATGGCGGGCCCCAGGCTCCTTGCTGGAGTGTTCGAAGGGAGGGGTGGGACTGGTGTGTCCCTGKTTGGCCTCAGCTCCTGGCTCGCTATTTCATGAAGGCTTGGCTAAAGACCTCTTCCTGCCAAGCTTTGTCTTGGAGGCTAGCCACCCAGTCACGGGGGCTACAGGTGGGTGGCCACGCCGTGGCATGCAGACAGCAGCTGGCGGGTCTGCACCTCTGCATCTCGTGGTGGGGATTCACTCATCTGGGGCAAACTGTCACTTCCAAAAATCCTAGTAACTCCCGGCCGTCTCTCTTCAGTGGAATTTTGCTAGGAGATTCTCCTCAGGTAGAATCTAAGCGTATCTATGTGTCTCTCTGATCCCATCACTGAAGGGGTACTGAAAGTGCTGCCTCTCCGCCCGCCGCCATGATGGATCTCCTCCCTAAGTATTTTCTTGATCCACAAATGCTATCATCTTTATTCTGTCACAATGCAAGTATTTTTGAATGTCTGTGATTCTTTAGTATTGTGAAGTAGTTAATTATAGCACTCTTGGGGGCAGGACTAGAGAATCTGAATTATTTTTTTAAATATTTATTTTTTAGTTGTAGTTGGACACAATACCTTTATTTATTTATTTTATTTTTATGTGGTGCTGAGGATCGAACCCAGGGCCTCATACATGTGAGGTGAGCACTCTACTGCTGAGCCACAACCCCAGACTCTGGATTATTTTTTGAAAAGAAAGCCCATCACACAAAACTACTGCCCTGTTCCTGTAGCAGAGAAATGCTGAGACATTCATACTTGTTACTCCCACCAAGTCTTAGACTCATACCTTCACTGTTTAGGTGTGTGTTCTTCAGTTGCTTTCCATTTTGAATGAAAGCATTGGATAATTCTTACATCCCCTGTGGCTACCTCACTCATTTCTACTCAAGTTTCAATTATGAAACAAATCTGGAAAATTTGCTTAATTCTCTTTTCTTTTTTCTTTTGAAATAACACAGGGCAATCTAGAGCAGCCATGATACCTCCCAAGCATCCTCGGCAGCCCAAGGGAGCTTTGGATGATGCCATTTCCTTTGGAGGGAAAACAGACCAAGAAGCACCAAATGCTTCCCAACCCACACCACCCCCACTGCCAAAGAAAATGATCATAAGAGCTAATACAGAGCCAATCTCTAAAGACATCCAGAAATCCATGGAAAGTAGTCTTTGTGTCATGGCCAATCCCACCTATGATATTGACCCCAACTGGGATGCTAGCAGTGCTGGTTCTTCCATCAGTTATGAACTCAAAGGACTGGACATTGAGTCTTATGACTCCTTGGAGAGGCCTCTGCACAAGGAGCGACCTGTCCCTTCCGCAGCAAACAGCATTTCCAGCTTAACCACTCTCAGTATTAAGGACAGATTTTCCAACAGCATGGAGTCCCTGTCCAGCCGACGTGGTCCCTCTTGCAGACAGAGTCGAGGCATGCAGAAGCCACAGAGACAAGCACTTTATCGAGGACTTGAAAATCGGGAGGAAGTAGTGGGTAAAATTCGAAGCCTTCATACAGATGCCTTGAAGAAACTGGCTATTAAATGTGAAGACCTCTTTATGGCTGGACAGAAAGACCAGCTCCGTTTTGGGGTGGACAGCTGGTCAGACTTTAGGCTAACCAGTGACAAGCCATGTTGTGAAGCAGGCGATGCAGTTTATTACACTGCCTCCTATGCAAAAGATCCACTTAGTAACTATGCAGTTAAGGTAAGAAAGTATTACAAATCTCATTTTAATCTTAGCCAAAACTATTATTGGGAGGGAACTATTCTTCTTCCCTTTCTTTCCTCTTATTCCTCTTTTCCACAAAAGTCACTGCACATCTGTCTTATAGAGGATGCTCTTTTTTTTTTAACTTTTTATTGGTGATTTATAATTATACATAACAGTGAGATTTGTTAAATATTTATATATGCACACAATATAAAAGTATAATTTGGTCAGGTTCATCCCCAGTACCTCCTTTTCCCTCCCACAGGGAGGCTTATTTAGTATTTATAAGAGAAAATAGACAAGTAAAGAGATACTGCATGCTAAGTTAGAGGTGAACAAGAATTTTTAACCTTGAAAGGACTCAGACTCTCAAAGGCAGAGAAATCTTCTTAAAGGAAGGAGTCCTTGAGCTGTAACTGCTTGAGGTAGCTACCTATAAAAATGAAGTCTGCTATGTGCCKTCTATTCCATGTTTCTGTCTTTATTCCCTACCAAGAGACCTTTGTCTACCTCAGCTCTATAATTCCTCAGCTTGCCAGAGAAACGTTTTTATTGAGGAAGATAACTGATATTTGTTACTGTTTCATTAACTTTGTTTTATAATATTTACATCAACTTTATGAGGTTAAGATCTTTTTTTCCATTTGATACACAAAGAAAATGGAGCTGAGAGAGGTAAACTAACTTGCTTAAGGTCACACAGCTAGCTAATAGAGCTGGAAATTTTTTTATTTGTTATAATTAGTTATACATGACAGTAGAATGCATTTATGCACTTTGATATATCATACTAGATGGGATATAATTTCTCATTTTTCTGAGTGTATATGTTGCAGAATCATATTGGTCATGCAGTCACATATATACATACAGTCTATTTAATTCTACTATCTTTCCTATCCCCACATCCCCTCCCCTCCCCTTCTATCACTTCTTCTACCTAATCTAAGGTAATGCTATTCTTCCCTGGTGCTCCCACCCCCGTCCTGCCTTATTGTGAATTAGCATCCACATATTAGAGAAAACATTTATTAGTCTTTGGTTTTGTGGGGATTGGCTTATTTCGCTTAGCATATTCTCCAAATCCAACCATTTACTGGCAAATGCCATAATTTTACTCTTCTTTAAAGCTGAATAATATTCCATTAAGCATATATACCACATTTTCTTTATCCATTCATCTATTGAGGGACACCTAGGTTGGTTTCATAGTCTAGCTATTGTGAATTGAGCTGCTATAAACATTGATGTGGCTGCATCACTATAGTATGCTGATTTTAAGTCCTTTTGTGTAAACCAAGGAGTGGTGGAATTTTTCTTTTCTCTTTCCCCCCTTTATCTTTATTTATTTATTTTTATGTGGTGCTGAGGATAGAACCCAGTGCCTCACACGTACGAGGCAGGCGCTCTGCCACTGAGCTACAGCCCCACCCCGAATTTTTCTTTTTTAAAAGGCTCTATTTAAAAAAAGAAAAAATAAGGTATTGTATTTTTTATACCTTTAGTTTATTTTTTTTTATTTTTATGTGGTGCTGAGGATCGAACCCAGGGCTTCACACATATAAGCAAATGCTCTACCACTGAGTTATAGCCACAGCCCCAGTACAGCTGGAATTTAAACACAGCCAATCTTGCCTTTGTAGCCTGTCCTTCTTCTATTGTGTCACTTATTACTTTCTTACATGTATACCACCCATTTCAGACAATCCACTGCTTCAAGATGTCCAGAATGCTTGACATCAAGAATTCTTACCCAGTTACATTCACTGTAACACTAAGCCATGTTTTGTCACTATCACTATAATAAACATGACATGGCCTGTGATCCTGGCTCTGCCATTTAGTATCTTTGTCAATAATAATACCTATCATGTGGGGCTATTGTTTGGTTAGAAGAGAACAAAATGTCCCTGATGAGTAGTCATTTCTTTCATTACCATTAGCTTCTTTCCTACTTCAAGAGAGTAACAGTCTTTGGTCCTCAATTTCCTCTTTTTTTTTTTTTAGATATTTATGATAATAATCCCTATGGGGTTGAGGTAGGGATCAAGTGAAATAATGCAGGTGAAAGGTTTTGAAAAACACAAAGCTCTATGTAAAATTAAGGTAATAGTCTCCATAGTTCCTTTTTATTGATTCTATTCACTGGTTCAAAGCCATCTAACTGGCTTTTACATGTTAATTTGGCTTAGAAAGTCCAGATGGTATCTTGGTAAATTAATGGATAAGGTAAACAATTGACCTTACCTATCTATCAAGACAGAACGTACATTTGGACCAGATCCTCAGTTGGCTGCTCTCCACACTTGCAGCATCTATACCTATTGACCATCTTGTGGTGCTAGCAGTGACCCTGTGGGGTCCAGCCTATACTTTTAAAATTAAACCACAGGGAAAACTGCAGAGAAGGAATCTTGCTCCTGTTAATTTATTACTATTGAGTCTAAAAGGCATTTCGAGATTCTGTGTAGCACTCAAGAGCGGTTATATCAATTGGGGTTATGGTGCCTTATCTACCTTGAGTCTTTATTGCTACAAGATCACCAGTGCAGAATGAGTACCTATTTCAGAAAGGGGCACTGAACTATCTGTTCTTTCAAAACAATTGAGAAGTAGGGCTTGACTAACTTTATGTATTATTGCCATGCGATCTTGTCTCTTTCCTAAATCAATGGTCTGGTATTGATTTCTTTGCTTGTAATGATGCAAAAGCAATCTCGAAAGAACAGGTGGCAAGTGATTATATACTGGGAGTTGTTGGCAGGTTCGAGAAAGGATGTTTTACACTAAATGCTGAATATAAATGTCTCTTTGAAGACCCTCTGTGTGTTTCTAGAGGTGCCCAATTTACTGTGCAGTCTTAGAATAATAAACTATGAGGATGCTGAGAACCCTCTTTTGCAGAGGTAAGCAAAAGAGACCAGCAATCAGCCCATATGAAACAACTGTTTCTCCTGATTGCCTTCTTTTTTTTAAGATTTTTTTTTTTTAGTTATACATGGGCACATTATCTTTATTTTGTTTATTTATTTTTATGTGGTGCTGAGGATCGAACCCAGGGTCTCACACGTGCGAGGCGAGTCCTCTACTGCTGAGCCACAACCCCAGCCCCTGGTTGCCTTCTTAAAATATCCCTTCCCATATTACTGGAAATTAGAATAGGCTAATAGGTGTGACTCTCTCTTAAAATGTTGGCAAAAGGAAGTCAGTGTTGGAATTTAGCAATCTGAAAGTCAAAGGATACTACCCTACCCCTACCAATCCACTGCAGTCACAGAGTACAAAAATCTTTATTTTGTGCATTATCTTAGTTTGCTCAGGCTGCCATAACAATACCATAAACTGGATGGCTTAAGCTACAGAAATGAATTTTCTCATATTTCTGTAGGCTGAAAAGTCTGAGATCAAGGTTCCAACTTATTTCGTTTCGGGTGAGGGCTCTTCCTGGCTTATAGATAGCTGCTTTCTCTCTATCTTCACATGATTGGGAGAGAGCAAGAGGAAACGAATGTTCTTGCTCTTGTATCTCTTCTTTTAAGGACACCAGTTCTATTGTAGCTAGGCCTATGTTAGTCACCTTTTTCACTGTTGTGACTAAAAGACCTGACAAGAACAATTAGAGGAAGAAAAGTTTGTTTTGGGGTTCATGGTTTCAGAAGTCTCCATTCATAGATGGCTGACTCCATTCCTTAGGGCCTGAAGTAAGGCAAGCATCATAGCGGAAGAGTGTGGCAGAGGAAAGCAGCTGGGGACATGCCATCAGGAAGCAGAGAGAGAGAGAGCACTCCACTCTTCAGGGACAGAATATATACCCGAAAGGCACAACCCCAGTGACCCACCTCCTCCAGCTACACCCTACCTGCCTATAGTTACCACCCAGCTAATACCTATCAGGAGCTAGATGCACTGATTAGGCTATAGCTTTCATAACCCAATCATTTTACCTCTAAATTTTCTTGCATTATCTCACACATGAGCTTTTGGAGGACGCTTCATATCTAAAACATAATAAGGCCCTAACCTTAGGACCTCATTTAACCTTAATTACCACTTTGTAGGCCCTATCTCCAGGTACAGTCACATTGAGGTTTAGAGCTTCAACATATGAATTGGAGTTGGGGGACACAATATAGTCCATCATATTCTGTCCTCCACCCTCTCAAATTCATGCAAATACATATTTTCACATACAGAACACATTCCAACAACCTCAAAAGTCTTATTTCAGAATTAATTCTAAAATCCCAGTCATGGTGTTGAAATTCCCATTCCAAAAGGGAAAAATTAGAGGATGGAAAAAAGGAGTGGTGGATCCCAAAAACTCAAAATCTAGCAAGTCAATTTCCATTCAACCTTTAGACTGGAGAATAATCCTCCTTGGTTTGTACTCTTGGTCCAGTGTGGTGGCAGCATCAGCCCTATGGCTCTGCAAGGTGGCTCCAGCCCTGAGATGCTGCTCACAATCATCCTGGCCCTCTAAATCTAGCGAAGCAGTCTCACTTTTAAAGCCCAAGAGGGAATAGCCTTGCCCACTGGACCTGTGGTGGGAAGAGCAACCTGATGTCTCTATCACCTTTGGGTCATTCTTCCCTTTCCCTGAAGAATAGTACATGTTCACAGCCAAGCAGCTAGCTCCATGGTGCAATCCTACAGAATTCAAGGAGTCTGGCAGCCTTCTTTCATTCCATTCTACTTTCTCCTCTTGGCTTAAACTAGCAGTGTCTTTTCTAATATAATGCCATACCTATTCCTGGCTTCTGCTGAAATGGCTGGTTAAATCTGTGAGTCTCACTCATGATCTTTATATCAAATGGTCATTTGGCCACACTTTTAGTGTTCTGTAAAGAATGAGCTTTCAGAGCTGGGGTTGTGGCACAATGGTAGAGCGCTTGCCTAGCATATGTGAGGCACGGGGTTCGATTCTCAGCACCACATACAAATAAATTAATAATACATCTTCAAGTTCTGGTTCTTTTTTTCTTAATAATTCCTTC